GAGAGGAATGTTTCTGCAAAAGTTTGTCAGAGGCTGAAAGTTGGAATAAAATAAAATTTAAAATATTTCCAGGGGACAGATATACCATCAGAAAATAGCCATCTCTCTCTTCCTATTTCTACAATCTTTTGCATGCAAAAGAATGATCAAAAATTTAAGTTGAAGAGTGAAATTATGACAGAGCTTACCTAAATCTGCATTAGCCATGAATGTTTCCCTTTGAATCACTGATAGAGAAGTGGAAAGGAGGAAATGTGTACAATTAGGTCCACTGAACAAAGACAGAAAATATGTCTTCAATAAGAGATACACGGGAGCTGGGGAGGTAGCTCAGTGATCTAAGTGCCTGCCTGGTAAGTACAAGGACGCAGAGTTTGATGCCCAGTCGGCCCCGGTTCTGGGGTGAGCCCTGTTGGTCACTGAAACTGGGTGTGGTGATGTATGCCTGCAATCCCAGTGTTGGAAAGGCTGAGACAGGAGGGTCACTATAAGTCCGAGCTGTAAATAAACATATAAATAAAATAAATCATTTAAAAAAGAGAGATGTAGACCTCTATTTAATTATATCCTCCAGTCTGGAAAATGGTAGCTGATAACCCCCACACTAACATACAGGGTTTTAAACTAAAACTTCACACTTAGAGCTACAATTTCAAAATATGCTTTAACTGAAAGCTTCAAGACCAAAAATGTAAAGAAGGAAATTAGAAAGCTTGATCAATAAGAAATAAGTATGTTCTGGAACCTTGTGTATTTCTACAGGCAAAGTTGTAATCTATATCACAGAGTTAAGTTATGGTTCTATTTTCTTCAACTTCCTCCTGAAAATTAAAAAAAAAAAATCACTGATTAAGACCCAACAGATAAATATACTCATTTTATATCTAAAAATAAGTGTAGGAACAATGAGGACCTTTGTCAGACCAAGGCATGTTAAGGTTCTGAAAAATTCAACAGTGCCAAATTATTTCTATACTATTTAAACAACTTTAATGCAGATTTAGTTAACATGACAACTCTTAACTAAACATAGACACAGCCCTTTAAAAAAACTATCTGCACAAAAATGACTACTAAATACAACTTATATCAATGAATGTTAACTAAGACAAACAGCAATGTTATATGGTAAGGGAAAAAAACGACTGCAGAATGAAATATTTTTCTTGCTTTCTAAAGAGACCTAAGATTTATGAATAAATTACTTTTTTAGACTAGCTCTACAGTGAATGGTATTATAATAAGCTTAAAGTTTGTTTTTAAAATGTGCTGACTAATCTTTTGAGATATTAAAAAATGGGTCAAAAGCATTTAGTGCATCATTTGAAATGTCTTACATTGGTCAAGTAGAAGATGAAAATCCACTGTAGCAGGGGGTGTCACTGACGAAAGGGGTGAGGGAAGAAAGGACAGACAGAAAAGACAGATCACCTACAAGGGCCCAGATGAGGAACAATTTTTCTATAAGCTTAGGGAAAATATAGTAGAAACGTCTATCAAGTTACTGAGAGAAAACTAGGAACCCTGGTATGTATATCCAGCAGGGTATCTTTCACACAGGAAAAACAAAACAAAACTAAAGACACAGAAAATTAGAATGACAGAGTTAACATCCTTGAGCAGATATTTATTAATAACCTATATTAAACGATTAAAAAAGCAAAACTGGTAACTTTACAAAAAACTACACACATGCTTGATGATTAAGCAAAGCTAAACAAAACTTTAACTTTGATATCATATGAACAACAGTCTGTAACTACAATGTGAAATTATTTTTGATAGGAATTAAAACCCTGAATAGTTACTTCCATTTCTACCAAGAAGATAGATTAAATGTCCTAAGCAATCTGCTCACTGAAAAAATGATAAATGTTGAACAGAATACTTTTTTAAAAAATATCTTTTGAATGCTTCTTTGAACTGGGAGACAAACTAAGAACATATTCAGGACAATGACAGGAATACAGAGTCCTAAGAACTAAGGTCAGGACTAAAAAAACCCGCACACATTGACTACATATTATAAACCATAACAATTGGTCATAAAAAGTTAGAAGGCAATAAAAAATGTAAATAAAAATGGTTACCCATGTGGAAATAAGAGGGAGGGCAAGGATGTGAGACAGGATACCATCAGGATGATCTTTTCATTGGACCAGTAAAGGACATGGATATTTATTTCACTGTTAAATAACATACTGTACAAAAGAATGTATGTCTTACAGTGCTATAATCTTAGCATTTTAAGAGGCTGAGGTACAAAGATCTCAAGTATGAGCCCAGCCTGGGCAACTTAGTAAGAGTCTGTCTCATAATAAAAATAAAAATCACCTTTATCTTGATTTGAAAATGGTAAATACTAAACCCTCAGCAGCCTGGCACAATCTACAGAATGAAACCGAAAGAATAACTAGACCAGTACATAGCAGGCAATTTTATCTCATTTAATCAATACAATAACCCCGTAGGTGAGTATCACCTATTTCTATTGTAGGTAAGAGACTCTAAAAAGAACTGCAGGTCACAGAGTTGCAAAATGCACAGCACATACATGACAGTATGCTTCACGTGCTATCAAACTTTTATCATTATGCTTTACTTTCTCTGGGTTTTATTAAGACTACTGAGTTAAGTAGTCTTAATTAAGACTACTTAACTCAGTATACCCATTGCAACATGTTTTCTTGATTAAAAAAAAAAAATCTGGATCTAATCACAGACCCAGAAGCAAAGTTTTCCAAAAAGGAAAAACTGGGACAGCCTAGTAACAGTGTCAAATGAACAAGAGAGTTCGTTTAGGTTAGCCCAGGAATTACAAGAAGAATAATAACCAGGTATTTAGGCCTATATTATACATTTGGGAAAGCAGTATCACTTAAAGAGCCATGTATTTTCTCAGTGGGTACATTTTTCCCCCTAAAGTATGCTAATCACACACTATGTCATCTACAAGTTAGAAAATACAATATAGGTTGAGCATCCCTAATAAGAAAATCTGAATTCTACAATGCTCCAAAACCCAGTTTTTTGAGAGCCAACATAATGCCCTTTAATTGTTTTCTCCACAAAATTACTTCTAAATACTATAGAGGATTATCCTATAGAGGATTATTACTATAGAGCGTTTCAGGTTCCAATCAGAAAGATTGCTGTGAGTTCGAGATCGGCCTTGAACTTAGTGAGTTTTAGGTCAGCCTGACTTGCATAGTGAAACCCTGAGTGAGAGAGAGAATGAGAGTGAGAGTGAGAGTGAGAGTGAGAGTGAGAG